AAACTCTGCACACATTCCCAACTGTCAACATGTTATTTTACTCTAATAAAACGAACTGGTTATTCAGTTAAAGAATGTTTAAGTTATTTCACACTTATTGCTTATTCAGTTTATTATTCGGGTTGTTTTCGGCTGAGGAAAATCCTATGAAATAAAGTGAATTCATATTATCCTGGGGAAAATGTTCTTAAAACATTATTCAGATTTATCAAGGGGGACTAATTGTAAGAGGTTTCTAAAACAAAGACCCATCAAATTGCTAAGTCAACTTCGTTTCTCGCCTGTTTTTTTTCATTCCAGTCAAAACTGCCCTTAAACTCACCGAATATATTTTACTAATAAGGGTTGTTGCTTCTGAAAGAGCGGGATCTAACCTCTTCATCATTCGCCTATCTGAAATCCTAGTGTCGTTCTGTGGGATACACATCAGTTGTCGTAATTTCTCTCCTTTTAAAATGGAATGAAGCTGTCGTTCACTGTTAGGACATTGTGGATAGCTTTCTTAACAGTTTTGTCCTTGGTAGAGCTTGATGAATTGGTTGATGTATTCCTCTTGCGGCTTATTTCACTTGTTACGCAGTTGAAATGCTTCTGTTTAGGGCTCTGTGCTTGTTAATTGCGACAGATAGACTGTATGATAGATAGCCAATCAATATGATGTGACCATTTTGTCGCGATTATTCGTTAATTTGATGTAACTCACACCACGTGCTGTAACCTTGAGTGTTCCTTGTATTCTGTCACTTTATTTGTGTGTACATGTAATTAATTAACTGTTCATTTTGTACGTTCCCTCAATACTGTTCAGTACGTTTTTGTCTTTTCTTCAGTGACAATGGGTTTATATATTTTTCTTTGTGTGATTGTATGATTTATTTTATGTTTTAGAAACAGATAACGTTTAAGTCAAGTCACTCTATTTTTAACTGTAGTTAAGCCAAGACTCTGTGTCGTCAGTACTGATCGCAAAGACTAAATCTGTAAGCTAAATTAATCCTACAGTGCTCTTAATGTGTCCAGAGGGGCCTCAACGTGAAATGGACGTTATCTAAGCTGACCATATGCATTTCTATGAACTCTCTGATGCAAATCGATGCCATGTGAGTTTTAGCAATTCACTCCGTCCAACTCACCTGCAGCCCCGAATTTATGTGTTGTTTGGTGAAAATGGCGCGGCAGAGGTTGGTTCATGTGCCCGGCTCTACACATAGCCATAGCCATTTGAATGACATGATAGTTAACTGATTTTCGCTGACCACTTGAGACGTTCCTAGTCTCATGAACAATTTTTGCGGGGGTGGAGGAGGACGGCATATTTATCCTGCCAAGAGTCTAGTAAAAATAAAAGTAGGGAACGGATAAAGAACTTCACCCGGAAGGAAAACAGTCACATTTAACAAGTTCAAACAGTGTTCGTCAACTGTCATCGGGAAGGGAAGAAAGAAGGAAATCATGTTTGTAAGGTCGTGCGGGACCTGCGGACATCAAAGGAGCTAGTGAGGCCTATATGGTTGGTTTTTTTCTAAGACACCAATTTGTTCCATGTATACTAGACGTTTAACCATCGTGGCCAAGTATATTCGTGACGGACGTGTCCCACATTGATTTCAAAAGTTGACGATTATGCTGATGGAGAAATTCTCATATATATGAGGGTCACTTCTCAGTGTAAGCTCCGTCTTCAATGGAATGCATTTTCTTGCATTATATGTACGTTCAGGCTGCTCTAAGGGGCTAATGATCCCTGATGTTGCATCGCTACGCATTTCTGAGCCTCGCATGTATGCTCTAATTGAGGGATTACTTTTGCTAATCTGTTGGAAGGGGTTCACAACATTCTTGTTTTCCCTTCCAAATACAGTGGCAATGGACGAAAATCAGATGAAGCACGAAAACCGACAAATGAATATGAAACGAATCCTTGCAGATACATCATATTACTTTAGACAGGAGACCAGAAGGCTGCCCAATACCATCCCACCCATAGCAAGTAATACTAATGATGTTAGAATAGACTTTTGACTTCTGGCTCGTTTTAGTACGGGCTGAGCTGTGACGCTAGATATTTCCAAAACCATTAGTCCAGAGCAATCGTCACTGACCCATACTGTTTAACTCAAGTAAACTGGGGCTTCATTCGCTTCCTAAAATCTAATTACACCAGTGGGCTTGGATTGTGACATGTTCTTGCCGGTTGCCTTGTTGTGTATTCCCTGAGATTGTGGTATTGTGGTTCATTGCTATGGCGGTTAAACAATAAATTGCATTGTGTTATACGCTTTTCAACAGAAACTTAATGAAACACCAACTTTTATTTATTAATTTATTTAAACGCATGAAAACTTGGTACAATATAGCACCATGAAGTATTCGCCACACAATAATAATAAAACAACATAGATCAAAAGAAAAAAGAGAAAAATATATAAAAGTAGAGAGCGGATAAAGAACTTCATCTGGAAGAAAAACAGTCATGCTTAACAAGTTCATTATACGGTTGGAAATCTCATCCGTCACCCCTCCCCGCCAGCACTCACACAACCACCCAGATACACAAACTTATCAACAAGTTCAAGCGGTTCACCTGGAAGAGTGAGTGCAGGTACAGACTTCTACCAATCTTGTAACGGTACTTTGCACTTAGACGGCGTGAAGCACATACCATACTGACTGACACTGATCACCAACTGATTAAGTGGGATTTCGGCAGCCTGCATGCTATCGCACAGTAAGACGATATCGTCTGCATACTCGAGGTCGAAAAGTCTATCTCCAGGTGGCAGATCTACACCACCTTCGCTCACATCCTTCACAGCTGACTCCAGAATGTCATCGATGGCAAAAATAAAGAGAAATGGGGAGATTAGGAAACCCTGTCCAAACCCACTGTTGGTTGCAAACAGTGATGATAGTTGGTTGTATGCCCTCACTCTGCCCGAGGTGTTTCTGTATAGGGCTTTCAAGATGTTAACAAATTTCTCAGGTACACTTCCTCTCTAACAGACAGTTCCAGAGCACAGTTCTGTCCAACGAATCGAAGGTAGCCCTAATATCAAGAAACACAACGATCGTTGGCCTGCAATACGTGTGGCGGTGTTCCAACAATTGACGAAGTGTAGACACATGATCAGTGCATCCACGACCTGAACGAAACCCAGCCTGCTCTTTGCGAATCAACCCTCACGCGATTCGCACAGCCTGAGAAGCAAGACAGCAGCCAATATTTTAGATGCAAACTGCCAGCAGACTGATACCCCTATGATTGTCACACGAATTAAATCGACCCGTTTTAAAGATGGGGACGATAATGGCTTCGTTCCACATTGATGGTACACTCTCTGTCTCCCATACCTTCCTAAACAACCCAGTTACAGCGATTGTGAGAGTCTCGCCACCATCTTTAAAAAGAGCCGGGGGTAAATTGTCTGGGCCGGGAGCCTTATAGCGTTTCAACACGTGGAGTTCCCCACGGACTTCCGCTTCGGTGGGTGGGTCAGTACTAACCGACCAAGGAGCACTGGGGCTAATGACAGTAGACACTGAAGCTGGTGGTGGCCAGCTAAACTGTTTCCCGAAGTGCTCTGCCCAGCGTTCCAGGCGTCTTTTCAAGCTGGTAATTGGCATGCCATCCGCCTCACAGACCGTCTCGCTGACACCTTGTTTCTTGGTGCCGGTGGCTCGTATGAGTTGGAACAGCTTCCGACTGTTGCCAGATGCAGCAGCTGACTACATGTCACACGCACATTCTGACCACCAGGCTTCGCGGTCCTCACGTAAACACTGTCTAATCTTGCGCGTGGGCACCTTTCGCTTATTGTTGTATTCCCTGCCAGCCGGAATGGACCGGCGTTCATCCAGGAGTTGCAAGAAACTCGCAGAAACCCAGTGGTTTTTAGCGGAGCATTCTTTCAAGCCGCAAGCGGCTACACTCGCCCTTTGCACGGCACCTTGCACATGAAGCCAATATTCATATATACTACTTGGGGGGTTGCTGGAGAGCATTGATTGTAACTCATTCTGATATTTCAAAGAAGTAGCAGGTGCTACTAGTTTGCTCACATCAACGTTTAAACAACGCCTTTATGAACCCCACCACCAAATCCCAAGACGAACTTGGCACACACTAACGCATGATCGGAGTCCAGGCAAGTGCTCCAGAAGGAGCGACAGTCTTGTATGCATCCTCGCCACCGGAAACTGACAGCAATATGATAAATCTGAGTTCAAGCTTGCTTCGCAGAGGGAGGACGCCAGGTAGCGCTACGGCGATGGCTGTTCCGGAAGTTGGTCTGGCTAGAAATAGGTTGTGATCCGCGCTAAGCATCTGCAAAAGAAGCCGACATTTCAACGTGAGACCGAGCACTTTGGTCCAATCAGTCGACGGGAAAACCTAAAATTCAATTAAGTCACATAGGTAATTGCCGAATAACTTTTGATCTACAACATGTCCAACAGTTCTTATGTTTTAGAAACAACTCCCGATCACTGCATTTGACAAGTGAATAAAATAATATCCAAAAGAGGTTCTCTGTGCAAGGCAAAAATAATCACACAACATATTCCAAGGATTTTTTTATTAAAATAATTATTGGTCATCAAATTAGAAATTATCTGTCAGGAAACTGTGTATTCAATAGTAGAAACTACAGATCAAATACAAACATATAATTTTCAACCACACAGGCGGCATTTACAAATCGATCATCGTATTCTGTAGCTTCTTTGAAAACTGAAATGAGAAAATAAATAAAATCACTACTTTAACCACAAATGAATTTTAAGGGTGAAAATATTGCAGCAGTAGTCAACAGAAGACTGAGTACATCAATAACCAGAACCTATCCTGCAGCTAAGCTGGTTCCCGTCTGTCGGACAACATACTCTTCGGTGAAGTCAAAAGTCGACAGATACGCTCCTCATGTAAACTCCAACTGTGTGTACAAATTTACGTATATCTGCGGTGGCAGTTACACTGGGATAACAGGAAGGGCACACACACCGAAAAGCCTACGCCTCATGGGAACAAAAGATTACAATAGTGCCATCATCAGGCATCCCCCTGACATGGGTCATGAGGTGGACGTCGCAAGACCATTCAAAGTTATCAATAGGCGAAAGAGTTCAATTCTCCTTAAGTTTGCCAAAGCAATCTCCATCAAGCGCCTAAAACCCGATTTTTGTGTTCAGAAACAAGCAGTTATCAGTCTCTGCTCACCCTAGTAACTGGAAGTCTTTATTCTCTCTTTTACTCACTTACGCCTTCTCTGGCTTTAACACCACCCCTACACTTTGATAGAGTATAATTTTGATATAAGAATAAAACTTGTGCACTGTGGTAGAATGTAATTCCATTATGGGTAAATTTGTTTTGATAAAGTCTCACAGTGTTATACAGTAATGTTTACTGATGACGTTTCGAGCACAATTTATTGCTCATAATCATATCAAAGTACTCAGACGACTTCCTAACTTCATTTATATAGTTCCAATATTTTTCACTTGTGCTACTTAGCAATAAATAGCACAAGAAAAGACCATATAAGGAGGGGACATCTGAGACCCTACGTAGGATTCTAAATAAAGCAGGAATTAGGGTGGCATTGAAACCTACAGACTCACTCACGGACAAGCTGTGTAGGTTAAAGGACCCAGTTGACCCAATTAGACAAAATATCCTGCAATGACTGTGAGGTCAACTAGTAGATCGGGGGTAATCAGATTGTCGGAACATAAGAATTTAGCTAAGGTAAGAATGGTTGACCCCACCCGAGAAGATAAGTAATTTAGAAAAAAGCTCAGCGCTACATTGGACTGCATGCATTAACACACAACCACACAATAGGGTAGGAGAGGGTTAAAATTCTAAAAAGTAATCTAGGTAGGTGGAGAGAGAGGTTGATTACTGAATCCTTGTTCAACACATGCAATAGGAGTGATTCATCACTCATACCCGAAATATGGGAAATACTATTACCAATCAAATCAAGTGGAAATCAAAAGAAAAACAATGGAACTATATAAATGAATTTAGGAAGTCGTGTGATTACCTTGATATGATTATGAGCAATAAATTGTGCTCGAAACGTCATCAGTAAACATTACTGTATAACCCTGTGAGACTTTATCAAAACAAAATTTACCCATAATGGAATAGTGTATTTCTGCTTGTCGCTTTTTTCTTTGATTTGAGCTGAACTCAGTGCATTGTAATCCAGTTTATTAGTCACTCATCATCTTAAAGATTTCTCATCTTTACTACGTAACTCCTTTGCCGTTCTATGCACACATTCACTTCGTTTAAACTTGAACACCCTGTGCAAAAAGTATATAAGGGTGACTTTCTGAGTACTCTTCGCTAAGTCCAGAACCTCCAGTCAACTGACATCATGTACAATTGGTATGTTAAAACGGTTTCTATAGATATACTTATTAATGACTGGCCTGTAAGCAGCTGATGAGAAGCCAACGAAATAAATAATGGTACCGTGTTATTCTGCAAAAACTGTTGTTCTTCCTTTATTCAAATTCATAAAGGGGAATAAATGTATGAAATGAATTCATGTTGAACATTCAAATTAATTTGAAAAAATGGGGAAATGTCAACTGAGACTAAATGAAATAACTAAGAGAAATAGAATTACTCAAAAGTGCAGTGATTTTTTCGGGATGAACACTATATTGACACCTTATTTGACAGTGAATATATAATTTCAACCTCGGAACTGATGATTAAGAAATATCCCATGTATTCATTTCGAAAATATCATTAAATTTTTGAATAATCAATCTGAAACAGGCAATTTAACCTACTTAGATTCCCTTGTTTTGGACTGTGAGATGATCAGTGTTGGTACTAAAAAGCGCCGAGCTTTGAGGGCGGAGGTATCAGTATTGTTGATGTCACAGTAAATTCTCAGAATATTTACTTATCAGACATCGTGGAGTGAAAAAAGACAAGATATGTCTCCTGCCATACAATATCCCTGTACTAGAGAACATGTTAAGGGTATCATACAAAATCGTATCGTGGTGAGGCAGTCGGTCATTCACTGCGTTATAATGAGAAGGTTTAGTATCCCAGATTACTTGTTGGTTCTCCATTGGACAGAGACCCCTGACTCTTAGACTTTTCGGTGTAAATATGCAAGACGGTGAACACTGTTCAGTTGAAGATACATGTGCATCGACGGTTATCTACCGATTTTTTTGAAGAATTTACTCAAATGGTGTTTGAGCAAAACCAGTCAACGTCAAAGAGAAATTGCACACCCTAACAATTTTAAAAATATGTCAACAGAGTTAACTAATGCCAAACAATCGCGATATCGGTGTTTTTTTTTACTTATTTTTAATGAAAATTGTTACAGAGTTGACTAAAAAATAAAGAAAGTAGAGATATTACTTATTTATCTACTCACATGTTGATGCATGCAATAAAGAAAACTCCCGTCCAGTGAAATAATTCATTTCCATATTAATTTGTTTATTGAATATATCACACAGTGAAATCGTTTTATTTACTGGATGACATTTCGAACACAATCATACTACTAGTTATAACTACACAAATTAGAAATTTGAGTTTCGTAGTTTTCTTTATTCCTTCCCATTCGTCGAAGGGGTAGTGAAATTTTCTGTACGTCCAAGACAGGTGTTGAATCATTCCTATCGCACACATAATAAGATAAGAAATCAAGAAAATAGCTCAGCTATACTACTACATGCATTTACACACAACTAAAAAATATGATGGGATAGGATGACAGTCTTAACATCTACTATAACAAGGTGGAAGGAGATTTATAATGGAAGCTTAATTTATCGAATCAGCTGTGATAGGGAATGAATCAACACCTATCCCAGACATACCTGAAATCTCACTATCCCTACGACGAATGGGAAGGAATAAAGAAAACTATGAAACTCAAATTTTCAAGTTGTGTGGTTATAACTAATATGATTGTGAACGACATATTGTGTTAGATACGTCATCCAATAAATAAAACGGTTTCACTGTGGTGACATATCTAATAAACCAAATAATATGGGGGTAACATACTACCATAGCGCCAAAGTTTATATATATATATATATATATATATATATATATATATATATATAATACATTTCATTGAAATTTTGCATAATTCAGAAGACTCACTTGTCCATTTTATTTTGAATAAGCCCACACTGTTTGAACATATAAAACATTACCTCATTTTCATTTTTTTAAACTTAATTTCTAATACAGTATCACAGAACTGGTGTTGTTCGACTGGGAAAGGTGTACCAGTTCACATAATTAACATGTCAATAAACATAAATCAGTGAAAACATCAAGTGAGAGGTTTAAGAGTTCTTTTTCTTTCATAAATTACCTTGTGAAAGATGACGAAGATGATAGAAGACTGAAGAGTTTGACAAAGCAGAACTCGATAGATATAGAATTTTACCAATGAATAGGTCATCTGAAAGGCAATTAAACAATTCTAAATAAACATCACCAAAAACCAAAGTATATTCTCCACCCTTCTCAACGAAAAATGACCCTGTTCTACGAAAAAAGATATGACTAGATCTAATAAGAGTTATTCTCTATCACTGCCATCAGATAAAATGGCAATTAATGGTACATAAACTTGACGATAAAGACAAATATTGCCTAGAAGTGCGAAAACCGAAACACAATAAGTAAACTAACAGATATATGAACTGAAGTTCGAACTTATCACGCAAAAGATTTTTCTGGTAACTTAATCAAGGCATACACTATTTTGTATATATATATATATATATATTAGTACGAATTACAAATCGACGCTTATTATTTTTAAATTTGGACGAAGGTTACACTTCATTTATATATGTCCGAACCAAGTTCACTTCTAACAGTTTGAAAAAATTTGGGCATTGGATATATGATATTCAATAAAATAAAGGTCTTTGTATTTCCCAATGAATGAACAAAAAAACAAAACGGTATTGTTTTTACTGACGTTTCGCTATTTAATGCTAATAGCTTTATCAAAGTATTATTATTAAACTGGAATTTACAAAATCTCAGCATATATATAACAAAGAGTTAAGAGGTGAGAAAATAGACTTAGGTCAAGTTAAAGGGACATATTGAAAGTCAAAATAGCAATGAAGATCACTAAACCAAATAACAAAGGTAATAGTACGTCTGTTCTGATATCAAAATAAAGTTTACTAACTTGATCATCATTCGTCTGTCTGGGGTCATTTTTCGTTGTCAAGTCGGTCAATTGGTAAAGATAACAAAATCAAGTGTAGCTTTGATAGTGTGAAATATCCCCATATTATGAATTAAAAGTCTTTCAAGTCTTTTAATTTAAGTGTAGATTGTTGAATTTGGTCAGTGTGTAAAATTATAAAAGCAGTGTGTGTTTACATAGTGGTACATAACAGCTGATATGATAACAGACGTACTATTAGCTTTGTTATTCGGTTTAGTGATCTTCATTGCTATTTTGACTTTCAATATGTCCCTTTAACTTGACCTAAGTCTATTTTCTCACCTCTTAACTCTTTGTTATATATATGCTGAGATTTTGTAAATTCCAGTTTAATAATAATACTTTGATAAAGCTATTAGCATTAATAGCGAAACGTCAGTAAAAACAATACCGTTTTGTTTTTTTGTTCATTCATTGGGAAATACAAAAACCTCTATTATAATGAAGGTTACACTTCAGTCAGTCGCAAACAATGATTAAAATAGAGCTGATGGAAATGGATCGGTGAACGCTCAAGATGAGTACAGAAACATACGACAAACAGATCACCATTGTGTCTTCATCTGAAAAAATGTAACCTACAACTACAATATGTATAAACTTGAATGGTGATAATTATCATTAGTGTTGTAAACAGAAGAATATAACGTTGTAAGAATTACTTGCTCACATACAGCCACACACAACAATCGCTGTACTATAACGTCTGCCCATCTATTCCCAGCTCAGTAACGTATGACTAGGTGAACTTACAGCAAGCAGCTCGTTTGGAGATCTCCTGAGAAACCTCATTCATAATTTTCGGACGAAATCAGTAGAAGTGAAACCAAGATGCATAACCGAAGGACTACCGGTCGGAAATTAAAAATAACACCAGAAAGTTTTCAATCGTCTCTATGGATAAAGTCATTACTGATCAGTGATATTTACTTTCATTTCCCGCATGATGTGGCACCATTCAGTCACTTAACGTAACTTGATTCCTAACAAATATTAATTCTAGAACGTTTTACTCTTCTTTTAGATGTTGACGAATGTAAATCAGTTTGTCGAAAGGGAAAGCTTTTCTTTTCTAAAACCGTCTATTAACCTTTCCTATAGTTGAAAAATTATTTTGCAGGATATGTTCAAAATATGGGCGACAGCTTCACTCAAGACTTACTGTTAAAGCTAGAACCTTGTTAAATTTAAAAGATTAACCTGTAACCTTAGACAGCTTAGAATTGCCCCTGTAGCGCATATCCCTTGGTACTTCACTGACCATCTTAATTGTAATATTACGTCTCGTACGCGTTTTGCACCTTTTGCATACTTCATTTCCGTGCTTTCTACGACTATAAGTTACACCATTCTCATTCCTTTTTCTTTCTTATCCTCCCTCCACTTGCCTGAAATGCAACTATAACTACGCGAAAGTACCCCTATACTATGTCTGTAAGTGACGAAAATCGTTGCAACTCTATACATTCCTTAGTAAATGTATTAAGTTACAATGACTAGACAAAAAAAACACTATTATTAAAAAACCAACCTGGAATATTGAATAATGACTTCTTGACTGTGTCATTTAGAACTGGACTAAATTCTTTGGACCATTTTTGATAAATTATCCACAGTTTGACAACTGTACAAATATATTCTATGCATAAGCTTGGTTGATTCACTGAAATCAAAAGAGAAAATGTCTTTACAACTTACGATAGGAGAATAAAGAAACATCTTACCTAAAGCTCGAACAAAACAATCCACACTACTACTAAAACTTCTTTTCTAACTTTTTCTTAACAACACTTGATGACAAGCATTTTATTAAGCAAAGCCTTCAAAATAGCATGTAACTGAAAGAAATTTCAAGTTATTATCTCCAATTATCTGAAAATATCACTTGCTTTAATTCGAACAACTCTTACGAAATAAATAAATAAACTGAGTTACTCCCGAAATACTTTTCAAAATCCTCACAAAAGTCGATAGAAGTATTCCTGAGAAGAACAGTGATTGTGATCTAAAGTACCGACATGGAATTTTAATATTACTCAACAAATATTTGCATATTTCTATGGAGTTGGTGATGTTTGCTGATAATACTACCTGGTTGCCCAAATCTCGGTAGAGGGAGTGGCGCTCGAGCCCATAGCACTTTGTTCGGAAGTCAAGAGCCGAAAACCATGAGCCACAGTTCCGCATTCTCTGGAATAAGAATTTACAGTCTTCAGAAAAGTATTATCTCCTATCCTGACAAAATAGCGTTTTCACCTAAGAAATGCACCGAATGCTATATATGGCTGCCCCTAAGATAGATTATTTTTATAAAAGACAAAAACTATTAAATATTTAGACAGAATTAAAAAACAGACAAAAGAGTGCGACTTACCAACAACATCGTAAAAAGATATCCAACTACCAGTGAATAAGTGAAATAATTCGCCGGGTTCTGCCAGCCACGTGAATAAATCACGCTGTTTAATATTTTCCGTCGACTTGACTATCTGTGAATCCAATATGCAACTATTAATCAGTTCCAGAATGTTTGTAAGCACTTCTATAACTGGACTTGATGAGCATATCTGAGTACTTAGAAAATCAACATTCCAAATTTTCTTCAACCAATTACAAACCATTTCACCACAAAATGGCTTGTCAACAGAATCCCATGGAAACCAACCAGTGAAAAACTTAGGATTTGAAGTTATTGTATATAATTGATTTATTACACTACAAATGTTTGCCACTGATTGAATCCACTTAAGATCGTCAGAAGAATGATTTTTGGGATCAGATAACATGGAATATTTCTTAAAGTGATGTGTCCTGAGAAAAATACCAACCAAAACGAGACTACGCATAGATGATGATGCGTTGAAAAAGATAATAAAGCGAAAATGAAGTGTGCAGAATAGAACAAAATAAGATGAACCAGAATACAAAGTCAGTATTCACTAGGCAAATACTTCAGACAGTGGTGGGATACTGTTCCTCCTTATGAACAGTGGCAGCTAACAAATAACCTCAAATAAAAATTCACTGAAGTAAATAGACACACTGCAAAATACCAAAGAAACAGATGAACAAATCTTTAATGTAGGTTTACATGCATGTCAGTCAGTGAAATCTCCAATTTCCAATAATGTAATCTAGTTTCCATATAGATTTAATAGTATACGTGATAGTGGTGATAAACAATATTTGAAGACAACTCACTCAAGTGAAATGTGAATAAATAAAAAAGGATAAGAAACATTTGTAGTTCTGATTGCGTTGACTCAGAACTCCCCTCCCCAAATGCCACACCCGACTTATTGGCAAAAACACGAAAAATAAGCAGCCCAAATTGATCACTGATTCAGTTATAAAAAACCATATTCATGAATTTGGAATTCAAAGGTGATCGATCAGCCTTCAGATATCCTCGAAATTCGTCTACCTAAATCAGTCAGTAAGACGTTGTTTGCTGCAAAACTACAAATGACCTTCACCAGGCGTAAGTTGTTCTCCGTCTCTGAGAAAGATGAGCCCCCTCATCTGACCGCCTTTATGTGTATCCATCAGTTCACTTGCTCTTGTGGAGCAAAGTACGTTAGCCGTGAGCAGATAACGCTTTCCAAACGTATACTAGAAATGATGCACGAAGCTGCGTTCTAGAGCTTTTGGTCCACATCTGCCACTCTGCCAACCCTGACCATGATTTTAAGATCACCTATCAAATTCACGCTAACTTGCCGTTTGCTTTTTTCTGAACTTCTAAAGACAGAACAGGCCTTCGTCGTTCATGAAATTAAGTCAGACATTTGTGTACAAAAGAAGTATGTTCGAGCCCTATTTCTGCCTTGGCTGTAGAAGGATAAACACTTATTACTACGATTACCACTATTATTTTTACTATTACCATCCTCATTTTGAACTGTTTCCGGTATTATTTCACTTTTCACTCTAAATCCAAAATATTCTTTTGCAGTTATGAATTATATTTTATCAAATTTCACGCCATGTTATGAAACGTTTTATATTTGCCTACTAATATACCCCTTCCCGACATTTATACATCCTATGGACTACTCTACATAAGACATCGCCTGTTTGGCTACTTGACACTTGATATTTACCTATAATTATAATTTCAAACATTTTAATTGAATTTCATACTTTTATTATTTGACGTATTCACTCATTTGTTTCAATTTACTCGTTCGATATAATTTTTTTCAAAACTATATATATATATGCATATACGTTGTACAACTTGATAATAAGTTCACTGAAGAGTCTCTTCGCTGAATATTCTGTTCTTAATGTTACAATAGGAATTGTTAAATTATTGAATGAACAAAAATATCAGTTCGCTGAATTAGCAGTACAACCCGTAGATAGTCCTGGACTAAACGACTGTCAAGTTCATATGTACAGCTTAAACCAAAAAAAACAAAGCGGTTTATATCTATTTACTGGATTTTTGGCCACATTTGCTGAGTGTATGAGAGCTAATGAAGTTATAAAACCACTAGAACCACTGTTTTACATGAGCTGACGAACCACCACCATCGGTAGAGTACTTCCCAACTTTCCACAGTAACTCTATACATGAATTCCGCTTTATAAATATGAACAGAGAAAGAACAAACATTCATGCAGAATAACACGGGTCCATTCTATTTTATCGGTTCTTGTCAGCTGTGTACAACTTGTAACATTTAATAAAGTCACTTAGAATAAAATTTCTACTTCGTGTTTCTCGTCAGAAATCGGTTCTCTAGTAAGGATTGTTGTAAGAATTTGTTTTTTTCCCAATCACATTTTATTTCAGACGTAATTTTTGGTCTTTTGAATTCTACTCATTGTAATACATTATTATCATCTTTGTATTCCACTTCCTACACACCAAATTCAGATTCTTTAGTTTTATCAGAGCTCTAAACACTACATTTTATAATCTCTGGCTACGCAGTTATATCCCTGCCACTCTAACAGCAAATTGATTTATTCAATTTCTTTTGCAAGACACTTCGCTCCCTTGATGCATATATATATATATATATATATATATATATATATATATATATATACTGTAATACTTTAAGACATCTTATCATTCTTATGTCCTGTTTTACTATGACGTTCGTACAACAGCCCTAAATGGAGGACTCATTCCTATAGATGAAGAAAGTATATTAAAACTTTATTATAATTGTTTTATCAAGTGTTACAGGTTGTACACGGCTGATGAGAACAGGCAGAATAAAATGCATCCATGTTATTTTGCACCAATGATTGTTCTTACAATAATAACTTGAGTAAGTTAAATAATGATTACAAGCATTTTACGCCTACGCTCACCATGGTAACGAGGGTTGCAGTCGTCAACTACCCATATGCATTATTCGTCTGAACTGTAATTCAAAACTGTTGATTTTACCTGAAGTGAATCTTTTCCAATTTACTGTATTCATCCTTATATATCACTCTTTTTTAATATTATTTCAGAAATACTTCCCTAACTTTATGTTTATATCACCACTTCAATTTTTACAGTGTAGTATGTCAATTTCATGCTCCGAACTAGCTCACCTACCGACTAGAAAATTTATTAGTTTTCAAACCATCTTTACTTTAAAACCATACCGACAATTCAGTCTTATCCGTTTGTGTAGAGTGGAGGGGAAGTTGTGATTGTATATCGCGCAATGTCATTCCCGTCTTATTCAAGTTTTAACACAGAGTATACACGTGCATGGAACAATAAACTATCTCAATTTGAAAGGAAAGAGCTAACTAGAGGATACTGACACTAAATCCCTGAGTCTCCGCAGCAGTTTGTATAGATGTATTGAGCAGCATTTCGCATATATATATATATATATATGTTTTTCATAACTTTTCCGTAGAATTCAAAATACAGGTTAGATAACTAGTAATGACACACATAAACAATTTATAACCTACGTGAGTGAAGTCAAAATCAGTGAAATCGGAGCTAAATACTTATTGAATAGTCTTTCAAAAGCAGATGCAGTCTCACTAGCATTTTCACACTGCATACAACGTGTGGTGAAGTAAACTGCCAACCAACTGAAGTATACTTCTATCAGAAGTGCATCAATTGATATGTTTGGTTTGGCTTTATCATCCCATAAGAAACGTATGTCGCAATTGTAATCCTAAATATTAGAAACAAAATAATACAACACAAAACTTCCTATTATCGAAAGTCAAAAAGCATACAATTACACTAATACAAATAACATATAGAGAAATATGCACAGTCTGAATAATAATCCTGTTTTACGAATAGCAAGGCATGTCTGTCAATCTGGTTGTTGCAGTCTTAAGCTTTCACAAAAATCAGTCATATACCAAAACTACACGGGCAGATAAAGAAGACAACTAGAAGTAATATTAAATATAACACAGTAGAACATTGAATAACACAGAGTTTGTTACTTGATTTGAATCAACTGACCAACTAATGTCACCATAAAAGATAGCAGGTGAACACCCTAATTCACATGGAGCATACAAGTGGAGACGTGATAGTGAACTTCTAATGTGCGTTACACTGTGACTTAACAATTCACAATTTTGCAAAGAGTAACCCTGCGTACTTCAAATTTGATAGCTAAACATTATTGTGAGATCTAACCGATTAGTGTGACTCGTGCTATAGAACACGTTAGCAAAAGCTCCAATACCTAATTAACTAACAAATATGTATTAGTTAAATTTATATAGAAAAAATGAAGACCTAAGATTGCTGAAAATTAACAGGACAGCACTGAAACAAACAACTAATCTGATCACGCTGAAATAATATCGGTACCCAGCCAGTGACTTAAGTCAGATAATTCACTACAGTTGCTGATTTATTTCATGAATAAAATTCACAGAAGCACCAACACACAAAGGTTGGAAACAAAATCATACAGACTGAATGGGAAAAGAATTTAGTACAAGTGAAAGTAGGCTATCACTTCACTACCCTAGTTATAAGGCTAGATAAAATAACCATGAATGATATTTTCCATAACACGCTGATTCTGACTGACAGTCCAAACTGTATCCAATAACACTGTAGAGGCGGTGAACACCGGATAACATGTAAAATATGTGTTAACCAAAAAAAATGTGTGATTATGAATAAAATTACCACCATAAAGGAAATAGGTCCTACCCGTTTCACAATAGCCCTGTAAGCTAACAAGAAGTCGAGTAGATCTTCACCAGCATCTACGCATTGTAACCACATATTCTTCACTGTTTCATTTGAGGCATAAGCAATTAAGCAGCCAGTAGAGGCGATGTCACTAGAATTGTCACAATTATCTACCGTCTTGAAAACAGAAAAAGTTGTTGAAAATAGAACACAGACTAATCAGCTATACTGAATTTCTCCGATAGGCATTTGTAAACTCTCAAAATCGAAAAAAAGTCGAAGCAAAACAATAACAATCAGAGAAATCTTTTTTTATTTCTTCACGTTCCCAGTGGAACACACGGCTTCAAGCTAGAGACTTGAAGTTTCCGTAGCAGTGTTTATTTTTTACAGGATGGAGTCGCTAGTCTCATGACCAACCTTTCCTCTTTGCCAGCTTTATTTCTGGCTTAGCAGGGTAAAGGAGTGCGTCGCCCGGGGATCGAACCCTAGACTATGTGCGCATGGTCAATGAGCATCCTAACCGCTTTGCCACTGGCGCACAGGAAAGATCTAAGAACTCTGAAAATCAACAGCACTTGTTTCTGTACATCACGGTGCTTGAATTTTACTTGACAAAACCTTCGTCTAAGACACCAGCATCAAATTCAAATTGAAATTTATTTCCATTGAATCCTCCTTCATACACATTGCTGAATGCTAGCAATTTACAATTTATTGTGAGAAAATATTATTTCAACCACTGACTGAGGTTGTAAACTGAAAAACTGCAATGGAGCTCTACACTAATGGCTTTCCGACAGATTTGAAGCGATCAAAAAGAATTGTAGTATTAATGGTTCAATGTCAACTACAAGTAATATTGTACAAGAAACATCAATTGGCGCATTATTTGTATATACAAATCGTATACAGGAAGTTTACACAAGAATGTTAAATTCTGAATACTACACTCTGAGAATTCACATGACCTTAGTTAATTTCGGTCTGTTTCGCATTGATTATAATGTATCGTAAGATATAACCAGTCATGGTCAGATACAGTGAAAAAAAGTTACGTCATGTTCAGTTTTAGTAAGCGAATGCTAAAATATCAAGCTAAACATCAGGGGAACTGCACAAAAAGGTGAAGAAGCTCATAGCTAGCTGTACACTGTCATTATTGCCCCTAACAGTATGAGTTATACTCAAAGTAAATAGGTTTATGCTGAATTTTGAAACGATTTTATGATAAGCAGTTATTGCAAATCTGAAATTCCTTGCGTATATCTTTATCGCTTAGACCTGACTGATAGCTGTTGCGATCGACATGATGGTCAACACTACATAGTAACCCAACCCAGCTATACTAGCTGGAACAAATGCTTCTGCAGGCATTACCATCGCACAACGGTCGATTAGACAGCGGTCAGACAAAAAACAGTTGGCATCACAATGTAGGTCATTTCGACTGTGTTGGGAATCCAAGGATGAAATCCTACTGATAGTGAACACGGGTGCAAAAGTAGCAGATAAGGGTAACATCAGCGTACTGACACAGTCCTAGAAACTACTCCAAACGGTCCATCTGACCGGACTCACGTAGTCGTTCTCCCAGCCCTGCGATTCCGCAGCATTAATACACTGTTTCTATCAGTTACTTCAGCTCATCAGTTGCTACTTAGAATGCCGAAACTTCTCGTTAGAATAAGGTGACAGGACCTCACCTCAACTCAAAAACAAATCATCATTAAAAGTAGGGCAGCACTATAAACCAAACTCTTACCAGACAAGATTCTCAGATCAGGTGGATGACTCAAATTTGGCTGTGCCCCTTGAGCTGGTTGATTCAATTGCGAAGCTTTCATTGTCCTTCTAGATAGCACCTTCAGTGCGGGCCTCTCTGAGCAAAAAACCAAATCAAAATCCTCCTCCTGGGCTACAAATCTTCCCTATTATTTCACACCTTACGACCGAAATTCGCTTCTATCTTGTCAAAAATGAGAGGACTTTGGCAAAAGGCTTATGTCCACAAAAGAACAATAATTTTTCTTTAAGAATGACTCCGCCAATATATTCTACCAAACAGTGTCAAATAAAAACCACAAATTAACTGCCCTCCGGAGGAGAAATTAGCCAAACAATACGAAAAACAAGTGATAGAGGTAATGATTACCAAAGTTCACAATCAGACTAGAAAATATCAACAAATGATTAAATCCCAAAAAGAAAAGGCTGAACGAACTCTCAACCTAGAATACCAACTAACATAGAAAAAGCCATCAAAATATTAGACGAACGACACAAAGAACGAAGGCGAGTTGCCCTCAAAGAAAAACTAGCTACGCTTTCTAAACAACCATCTGAAGAAACACTGAGTGACTGCGTAGTAAACTGATCGGACCACTATCAAAAATAGAAGAACAACTTCTTCAGAAAGGACTGAACTACAATACTGGTGACGATTCAAAAACAGACTTGTGCACCTCCGTAGAACCATCACTGAAATCATCAAAATTATATGAGGAAGTACAACAAGAAATACGTCAATGTACCATACCCAACATTAAGTAGGAAAAACATAATACCTAATAATAATAATAATAATAATAATAACACCAAAAAGCAGAATGCATTGAAGGAACTAAAGAATAGAAAGTCATAGTTATCCTATCACAGCTGAAAAAGGAAGAGCAAAACAAATCATGGACACAGAAGACTACATAATGAAAGCAGATGATTGACTCAACAGTTGACGGAAAACGCGGTACAAACACTGGATAATAAAACCAAAGTAGCACTAAGTATGAATCAAAGATTAATAAACACATTACCGTAGATTAAGTTTAACAACTAATGAAAAATAAATCACTTGACAAGAAAGTTCGAATTCTAAGTCAATAAATATGACCGACCAATATAAATGTAAATTAACAACCGATCACGATAATGATTATCACGAGATACAACTATGGAAAATTCTAACAAGTTCACTTCATATAAAAGCTTGCATTGAAGGTGTTGTCTAGAAGGACAATGAAAGCTTTGCAATTAAATCAACCAGCTCAGAGAACACAAATAAGTGAAAAAAATCCATACTTTTATACAAATGAGAGCACTTACATCGACAGTGTTATTGCCTTTTTCTATTTCTTTTAAGCTGTATTGAAAAATGACGGCACATGCTTCCGATATATTGCGCTTAATTATTAAAGGATGCTTTTAAAGTAAAATTGAAAGGTATGCATATTATACTACAGAAAGCAATAAAGCTGAGAAAGACATAATGTAAAGTATAGCAAGTATAACAAACAACTGTTGTAGTAGCTTTAGAAAATTACTCTTGCTGCAATTCTTCCAAGTCTTTTATAAATCAGCTAAAGGTCCACTTCTAGATTCTGGTCTCTTCAACCCACCCCCTCCTACCCTGTTCACAAATCTTCAATAATTAGTCAAAAAAACAGACAAAAAACAAAAGCTACTATCTACACTAATACCAATAGACACTCCATCTTTTACGCAATTACCGTGTTAAGTTTTGTTTGTTTAATACAGAACAGTAAGACCGCATCAGGTTTTCAATTACGATTTACCATCCATAATCAAGGCTCTGGTGTTCAATTCCCGGCTGACACACTCTTGCTTTACTAGCCAGCAGTAGTAAGTCTGGGAAAGAGGGAAAGTTGTGTGTGAGATTAATAACTCTAACCCGTAAAAACAACCTTAAAGCTAATGAAACTTCAAAGTTTGAAGATCAATGTTCTATTACGGCTTTAACCTGTAATCTTTAAAACCATTTTTTGATTCAAAAAATATTAAAACTTTTTAAATATCTGGGAATAGTTTGCTACACCAGCCTAAATGATGATTTTCCAAACATATACAGGTTATTTTCTGACTTTGGAACGGATACTTCCAAAACAAAATTCGTATTTCTTGACTAAATTTTAGAGCATCTAAAAAAGGTTCAGTAATTATTAACTTAACTGAATAACCATGTAAGGAATATGATTCTGATGAACAAATGAAGCATAGTCGGTGAGAATCACTTGGACACAAAATTTAGCGGAGTTAACGTTGAACATCTAATAAAATGTGCCATAACTAACAATAAACCCATCAAAATAAGGAAATGTATAAAGTTAGAGGAAACATACCACGTCAACCATGATATCTGTAGGAAAGCGGTGTACAGTACTACTCCGAGTACTCAACTCCACAAATGACTGTTGTTTATAAATGCTCTTATATCTGTTAGGTGACCGTCGGTAAGCCAGATACAGACGCAGTTCAATGATGACAGTGGTAACAATTAATATAAATGGTTCACCGTTATTAGATTTACAGCAAAAATCTTCTAACCATTTAAGCGACTGATACAAAGTTGTCAAAGCAGCCAAAAACTGAAGGACAAGACAGAACTGTTTACTCATGCTGGAAAATCCTACACAGCACAATATAATCAAAAGAAAGATTAGTCTAACCACCTTTAATATACTAGTAAAAATATTACAGATAAAATTACTACAACTATACATAAAATTGTCAAAATGTCAATGTATGGTTACAAAATGACTTTTTCACGAAATCAATCTAATTACCCCTTTCTTTCATGCCCTTAAAGAATATGTGAGTCGAAATATTAGCTGAACAGCTCATGTTGAAATATGTGGTTATCTGAGAGGACTACTAAACCAGCTTACAGTTTGTGACCTGATAAGTCATTGGAAAATTATTAGTTGTATTCTCAATGATTTTGCAGTTCAACAGTTTACAGTTATACTTTTCAAACTTTTTTTAAATTAACTGTAGATATTCACCCGACTAATGTTAGGCTCTCATCTTTTGTTATTTTTTTTTGTCTTTCACCTTCATGATAATGCTGACACTATGAAAGCTACAAATAACGCTTGTACGCCGCCACAAACTGATCTGGTGATGAGCGAAGAAGCCACAAACGAATCTGTGTAGAAGTATTTATCCAGAGTTCGAAAAATACCTGGAATGTTAGAAAACAAGAACGTTTTGACTAATTTCATGGTCTTGTTTGATGCGTCATCTAGATGTGCGGAGATCCCACTACACACGTATGTTATAGGCACTGCATGTCAACATTCTGACCATCTTCCCTTACAAAATGATAATGAAAAAAAAAGAACATCGTATACCCAACACAGAAAATCTGAGCTTAGTTTCGAAATCTACAGCTTATGTCATTCCGCTGAATTTATTGTCTTCTAAGTTCTATATTAAGTTGATAAAGCTGAATTTTTCAGTCATTGATCCATAATAAGTAATATATAATTTAAATAAGTTCATTTTCACACATTAACAACTTTAAATGAAACAACTGACTTACTTTTAGTCTTCAAGCAGTCCAAGCAAAATGAAATCGGTTGTTTCAGCGATTCCAACAAATTGTTAGTAACGTCGACTGATTTCATTAAGTTTATCAACTTTATTATTAAAATCAACCGATTCCACAGTGAGTCATCCTAAAGAAATGTAAGGTGAATACGATGTCATCAAGGATTACTAAGGCTAATGATTTTCACTACACAGAAATGCAGCTTGTACTAAGTATACGAATGAGAATGTATGTCATAAAATACGCCAATTGTTAATTAATGTATCCAAATAAATAAAAAAAGCGGCGACATTATCAAACAGATCTCATGTAAAATATTAATAATTTCGAAAGAATAATCTTAATATTTACTTTTTAGAATCCCAGTTGTGGGTCGGTGGCACAGCGGTTAAGACGCTCGCCGACCATGTACATGGTCCGGGGTTCAAGATCCGGCCGGTGCACACCTTTACCTCGCTAAGCCAGTAGTGACACTGGTAAGGAGGAAAGGTTGGGCATGAGGCCAGCAACTCCATCCTGTAAAAAAAATCAACACTGCTACGGAATCTTCAAGCCTATAGCTTGGAGCCCTATGTTCCACTGGGAACGTGAAGGAAAAAAAAGAATCCCAGTTAACTCAATACTCACCATCATTACATGTTTCACGCAGATCAGAGTTACAGCCAAGAATGGGGGCTGTTTCTTATCTTGAAAGCAGTGACCACATTTTATGTGGTCGTGTTAGCTATCCTTATGCAAACAGAATAAACCACGCACAATAGTATGACTGATAAACATCAGAATATCGTAAGGGGAATACATCTTCAGGTGGGTGCAGACATGCCTGAGTGATAAATTCCAACAAGCAAAAAACTAATGCTCAAGAGGTTTACCTGAGTAACTCTTATCATTTCACACCAGGTTACATTCCATCAAGTCCATTTCAGCGGCTACATTACATAATTCATTGGTTACTACTTGTGAGATTTTTAACATAAAACAGGAAAGGAACTACAGTGAAGATCTGATGGTGAACACAGAGGACTTAGAGAAAAAGTAGGATTTAGACACTGTGGTAGGATTTCATATATATGTCCCTGTATATGGAGTATTCAGTTGAGTTCTACCAAAATTTGATGATTCCATTAAATCCTGCTTTATCAACCTTTGTTGCTTGCTCGAAATTCATACCGGGAATTGATTGTTTCCAACAGATGATTATCTGAACAGAACCGTTGGAGACGATCGCTGCTGTCGGTTGGCTGCCTGGACCTTCATAGGTGCTATCAATATACTTCTCCGAGTGATATAGCTAGCCTGCATGAGCACTGAACTCGCCTGCTAAAACGACTGTATCTGAGAGTTTCACTTTTAGCATTAAACTAGAGACCTGCTGATAGAATTCATCCTGTACTTCGTCCGAACTGCAATCATCTGGAGAGTAGACGGAGGATTATGAAAAGACATCGACGGGTAACGCTGACCTATCTTCTTCGTGCGGATCCGTTCAGACGGATAGCATATTGCTGTATAAAACTGTGTGATTTATCAAAATAAAATCGTATCCATAAGGGACAGCATATCACCTATAACTAACTACTGGAATCCAGTAGGATTGGGATTTTCCCGCCTTGGCACTCAATGCTATCCATACAACTGCAAGTCCGTGTGAACTAGCCGAACAATCTCGTGACACTCGTAAGGTGAATTTTACAGACTCACTCCGGACGACGCCTTCCTTCACCTCGTTAAGTCGGTATTAAGACGGGTAAGGAGTGAAGGTTAGGTATGGGGCTAGCAACTCCATCCCGTAAAAATATACATAACTGCTTCCGAAAATTCAAGGCTCTAGCTTGATATCTGGTCAATTCCACACATGTATATCAATGAAGGAAAAAAAGTGTGAGTAACTTGATATGATTATGAGCAATAGTTTGTGCTCGAAACGTCATCAGTTAATAACACTGTACAACACTGTGATTTATCAAATAAAATCTTACCCATAATGGAGTTATCTGAAAAAACTTACCTTACATGACGAATCGAATTCATTACCACAAATAATGACGCTTTTTAAAAGGGCATCATTCAAGTCAACATTGTGTTTCATGCCAAACTGTAAAAGTGCATCTAAAAACGAAATACAATCCGCGTCGACTAAATAATTTTTAAACAGATAATTTAAAAGAAATACTTACACATATATAATTTAGAGGCTTTTTCAACTGAAGTGACTAGGATAGATGCAAACTGGTCAGCGAAGTCTACAAAAGAGTTGAACCGTACAATTTGATTCAACACAGGAAACACTTGCGATGATCTCCAGTTTACCTCTGATGCTCTAAATCAAAATACCAAAGGGTTAGCAACAATGTAACTAACCTTAGAAACGCACATTTCCAAAGACCAGGAAATAACAACTCAAAACCTTTCAGCCTTATCTGATTAAGAAAACAGGTGAAATGAACCGTCAATTAAAATATGTAACTTACAAGTGATGGATCGAAGGCAGCACTTACAATACATTCAACCAGGGCATCTGGAAGACCTTTTTCATCTGACAGTCAATAAGAGAGAAAAAATCGGAAAATCACAATTAGTTAAAACGAACAATAACGCAGTCACTTATTGAAATAGATAAACACTGCGTACAAAGATAGAATACAAATGTATTTTTACCACTGGAATCAATTCCAAACCATACTTAAATGTCTTCGTATAATGCCAATTTCTAGTGGCAGCATAATCTTTCACACAGTATGCCACTTCAATATAATGAAGGTCTACGGGAAAAGTTGCTTTCCTGAAAGAGAACGTAGAATACTTTCATCAACAGCCATGCTGTTACAGATATTATCTAGTCTTTTTAGTTAAACACCTCTTTATCTATTTCAAGTACAATGAGGTATTAACTTTTACTTGTAAAGTATGTAAGTATCAACTGCCTGCACTTCGCTCTAGACCTATACATCATCGGTGGCGGTTAGGACGCTCGCCGACCGTGGGAATGGTCTGGGGTTTTATCCCCGGCCGACGCACACCTGATACCAATTGTCGGCCTGCTAAATTCGGGCTACCGATATCACATGCTGAAAATTTCATACTTGTATCAAAAATACTGTGTGGAGTCAAGCCACAATAAATACATAGAATCTAATTATCAGTCTTCTTCATCACTTTTCAAGTTGATTTTCCTTTTTCATCTCATCAAACAAACACTATCTTCAACTGTCTGCTCCACTAATCACGGTAATGACTGTAGTTCATGTGTCAGAAAATCAAGTCTCTTGAATACCACGTTTTGTCCCTATTTCACACCCCTGTTCTACTAACTATAACTTCAACATCCGCATACAGAATCCTAGTGTGTTTTCATTCACTAAAATCCACCTAAGCAGGTCAATGTGACTTCAGATTTACGATCTGATCACCGATGTGCCCAATACCTCATTCCTGCGGTTTTACATTATGCATCAACTCCCAAACCTGTAGCTTCGTTCAGAGATATACGTATAACATAAGTGTTGTTTTTTAAATGGTACTCCAAGACTTCTTGTGAAATGCATGTCCTGCCAAAAACAAAAATGGTTTAATGAGAAAAATCTAATGAACAGACGTGGTCATCGTACACGAGGATTTCAATTTACAGATAGGCATTCAGAGCCATGTCAAACATAGAGTCCCAAAGAATGAACGGTTAGTGGTAATCCCTCCTTACAAATGTCACCGTTGAGATTACCACCGTCATGTCTGTCTGTTTTCGACAGCGATGTATGGCAGTTCAAGCTTCTACACTCCACGTGGCACACAAAGCGAGAGAAGAAGGTAGAAGAAATGCATAATAGAGACAACAAACAGAGGTGTCAGACAAAGAAATAGAGGTAACGAAGAACAAAACAGTTTCATTGGAAATCATAGGTCACAAGGAGTGCATGCATCTGCGTCACCGAGAACGATTTTGAACCATATCACCAAATGTTTCCAACCATTGGTTGTTACCGTCCCGAGGAGCCCAACTAGCCACCTTCCTACGTGACTGGCTTGAACTAACTGTTGTACATTTCATTGACTGGTGCCATGTTTTGGTTTGACCGCCACTAGCTCTTTTCCAGCCTGACCCTATATCAACTAACATCGCCCGTCAAGGAAGGTGATGACTAGGCATACGGAAAACATGTCCTAACCACCTCAGTCGATGTAATTTCACAGCCCCGTCGATTGATTTCCCCTCCTTACCTAGAACTCGACCGACGCCTAACCTCAATATTGCTCACCCTATTATACCACTTCATACGGGAGACAGAGCGCAGGCACCTATGGTCAAAGGCAGCTAATCTTTTCATGTCTTCCACTCTCAATGGTCAGGTTTCACAGCCATAAAGGAGGACGGAGCGAACTAATGAGCAGTACACCCACCCTTTGGTTGATAGCCGGATATCACGTCTACGCCAGAGATGGCGTAAACTGGCATATGCGAAACGAGCCTTCTGTATCCGTTGAGATTTCGTCAGAGATCAACCCGTTGGGGCTGATTCAACTTCCCAAATAAGTGAAGCGGTTAACGTGCTCTACCACTTCACTTCTTATTTCTAGTCTAGGAGTCAGTGTAGTCCAGTCCTGTAAAATCATCTTACATTTGGCGGGAGCGAATCGCATGCCAAACATTCGTAGATCTTAACTCAAGGTGTTCAGAAGACTCTGCATTTTGTCGGCATCCTCGCCTAAAAGGACTATATCGTCTGCATATTCTAAGTCGACGAGATTATTCCCTGGTAGCAAGTCAATCCCTGAGTCTCTGAAGTGGGTTAGGGTTAAGCCCATTAGTACATCTATGATGAAATTGAATAGAAATGGGGAAAATGGACATCCCCATCACCGTCGAGTTCAGAGAAGCGGTGAAATAGTAATAATCTTAGCCATTCATATCATAAGTTACCGCTGGATAGATCGATGTACTTATGTGATCAACAGGGCATGACAATAGCACGCGCTTGTCTCCACATTGGTTGAGATACGAGGACAAATGGAAGGCCTTCCCGAGTTTACCCCGCCCCCCCCCAAATGACGATATTAACACTGTATTTACGTGGCATTTAAATGAAAAAGAAACATGGAATATCTAACAAGGTATGTGTTCAGTTAACAAGTTCTACACATATTTGACAGGTTCAATTAATTCTACTTTGTAGGCATGTGTTAGTTCGTATTGGGAAAGAAATTTATATACCCATAGGAAATCTATATCGAGGTTTGGAACACAAATTCCATCAAAACCGGGCCACTAACAATCCACGGACTGTCAGATTCTGAAACAAAAATATCTACAGCTATCTAATACTGCCTGTATTTCTTCACTACCGTATGTTAGAGCTGAAGCTTATTAGAAATGCAAAACTTTACTACTACGAATGAATACTAAAAACGTAACAAGAGCTTATTTCATTTTCACTTACCAAGAAGCAAACGTGAAATTCGCTCAAAAGGAAATTCAACTGAGGTATCATTTTCATCACGTTTAATTGCCTAAAGTACTGATTAAATAAAATCTATATTTTCCAACCTTTATAATATCCAAAATATCATTATCTGTAGCCATTATGAGCTCTTAAGGATTTCTGTAGAGATGGATAACCAGCAATAAGTGATTAGTCAGTGGACTCTGGATGGACAGGTTCTGGAAAATAAACAAGAAAAAATCAATTAAAACGCAATAAGATACTGACTTATGTTGTAAAGAACGAAAGAGTAGCTGACAAACTCCGAACCTCAGTTTCACATACTATTCAGTAAATGTAGATCACGCTTACTATTAAAGTTTACATATGAACGGCTGAAATGACAACAAGATTTTGTAATTTTCAAATCATAGAGCATGTTTCTACACTATCCAGAATCACACACAAAACTGATATCTATTTGCTATTCAGTAAACAAGTATTAACTTGCCTAACAAGGGTGTAGCTGATTTTTTCCAATTCAAAAGAACTCAAATGGACGAAAATATACGGAGGAAGAATAATTACAGGGAGAATAGTGAGAAATCAATAGACCTGGTATGTCCCATCTGTGACATTGAGAAGGACTTCATGTCATATCACCGAAAGTCGATAGAGAGTCGTTCTTAGCCTTTTGATGAACTCAAACACATACTCAATACCCACCTATGTGGCTAACACTAACATTTAAAGACTTCATAAGCTGATACAGTGTTTTGACCTAACCACACCTAACCCTTTTCCACCTTGTCACTGCCAGCTGACACTAACCGACCAAGAAGGTGAGGCCTCAGCATAAGTGTCTTGATCATCTCAACCATGTAGCTTTACAACCACATTGACCGATTTTCCCTTCTCATCTAGCTCTATTCCTAACCTAAATATTACACATTATATTGCACAACTTGACAGGGGAAACAGCGCACAAACACCTACGGTCATTCACGTTGAAAGACTATATCACCCATACTCTGGCTCCACGAGACCGTTCATTGGCGACTAGCTAGCCTCTTAATGGCTAAAGTTCGCTTGGTTCACATTTATTAGTGCATCTACGACGAGTTAAGACAAAAGTGTGAACATTGGGTATCCCCGAAGGAAACCACTGGTTGTCATTACTTGCTTCGCGTGCTACACGGAATGTGGCGACTTGAACTTCCGCACATTTGTGCAAAGTTCTATGTCGAAAACAGACAGACATTACTTCTCATGACAACGCCCCACAAGCGTTAAAATGGCTGATTTATCTCTATGAACTGGGACAACCAAAGATCCCCATTACTCCAACAGAAATGTCTCAGATTCCCACACAGTACTTATTTTGTTAGTTGACCCAGAGAATAATTTATCACCGCCATCCTTAAGCGCTTCTGGATTCACACTATCGAGTCCCACTGCTTTTACTTCGTTCGAGAGATGCGAAAGATTTGTCAACCTCTATTATAACAAATAAAATGACTACCGCACAACTGGCGAATGAATAATTCAGTCATGTGAAAACTAGATTCGTTCTTCAACTAAGCCGGAAAATGGGAGATAACGAATGCAAACTAATGAAAAAGATACAACAGCATGACCCCAGAAGGTCTAAATACATTGCAAGTAGAAAACAACCCAGCTAGCACTGACTCCAACGCAGTGTGAAAACTTCGGGTACCATTGTTAAACAGTGACAATCCATCAACATTCAGCTGCAGATTAACGCAATCAAAAGATGCAAACTGACACCAACAACTCAGTATAGGCGTAAGTATACTTCGCAAACCAATATGATAGTAAACTCCACTACCAATAACAGTTGAGGGGCATGACTGGCTAGTTTTGAGAATGTGTCTTATATTTGTTGGTAATCTTGGAATATGCCGTTTGAACAATCTCATAATCTTTCCACCATCAACAATGGATGTTTTAGTGGTCATCATAAGCTTTAAGGCAGTCTTCTTAAGCTCTGCCTTTGAATTCCGTTCTTTCGCCTTATCGGAACGTATCTCATGGGACAAAAAAGCACCCGCAGCATTACCTTATCAAATAGTCGTCACATTAAATACTAAGAAACCAACTTGGTGAAGTGATTTGCATGTCACTTTGCACGTTTACGACGCTACAAGAAGTTTCATCTACTAGACATTCAACAGCCTCGACGCTGAAATCGGGAAGTATCATCTTGGCTACGTCACCGAGCAACTCCGATTCCAATCTCTTAGTTCGTCTATACAATGTGGATCGGTGGCCTGTCTCTTTTTCAAACAAACCTAAAGCACAAGGCTATATTAATGAGAATAAAGTACTTCTAAGACGTCTAGGGGTATTCACATTACTACCACTTGGTACTGCTTCACTTTCAGTATCCATTTTATTACCTTAAAAAGGACATTACTGCACATACTTAACTCACCTAGTCAGGAGTGCACGACGAAGAATTTGAAATCGCGGCTTCGGAAGTCAAACTTTAGTTTGAATTCACATAAACAAACGTGTCAAAATAATGGAAATGAAATCGTCATCATTTGTCTTCATGCCAATTCACAGTGATTACAGACGCATTGTATAATATTCAAGCTGAAATGTTTTTCACCTCATGCAATCCCCATCTTAGTATGACTGCGCTACAAAACCAAATTCACCCCTTTCTTCCCATGTTTCCCCTGTTTCCCATATTTTCCCACATTTCCCACGTCTCCAGAAAATAGTTGCCCACGTTTGCCCACTTTTCCCATGTCACTTGAATAACTAGCCCACTTCTTCCCACTTTACCCATGTTACAGCCCACTTTATCCCACTTTGCCCACATTTCAACGGAAAACTGCCCACGTTTTCACCCACATATCCCAGGTCGAAAAAAAAGTAACCGACTGGGCTGACTATGAGCACTCCTGTAAGAAATTGGGAGGTTTTCTTGGAACATATACAAGAATATCACTCTTAATGACCACTTTTTAACATTGCATTACTTTTTTGTGGGCGTCTCGTTTTGGGTTGCAGTCACCTGTTGTTCGGCTTTGCACAATCACGTGTTGAATTCGTGCTACCGGATTCACATTCAGATTCAGATTCGCATAAGCTCAACCTTGAGATCGATCCAAACAAATTTGTCATGCTTCCGATATGCAAAAGTGGACTACTGAAATTCTTAGTGCGAACTGTCCTGCAGTGGAATTTTGAATGACTATCTTTTTCAGTCTTTTTTGTGGCTCAGCTAGACCCCTGAAGGCAGAGTGATGGTCGTGTGTTAGTCTGGTAGTTTTTTTAACCCATTAGACTCATACATACGGCGCTAGTCGTTTCCATAGTTAGACCTCCTAAATCGTCTCCCATATTTAGTAGTCGAAAAAATAATGACTGTTATGACAACGAATTTATTGTGAAAAGGTAAAATATGCCGAAAAATAGGAAACAGATTATTATACATTGGACATTGGCGGGAAAACACTGTTGGGTGAATTCGGATTAAGGCTGCCGTTGACGAAACTTTATGTGAGGACGATTATCTATATTAAGTCTGTATGTCAGACATCTGGATGTAAACCATGGGCTCGTTATTGCTTACTAATACCCCCTTAATGATGATGAGATGACCACGGCTTCCAATGAAGCACTGAGAGAGTACAACAAGCGTAGCCAAATGATGTGGGAGTGCACTCGAGCTTTGGTTATCTGAGAGGCTATCTCTCAGTGGCTACCGCACGGTTCACAACAATAGCACCATGGGGGACTCTGGGTGTTATCAGGTTAATCAGTAAACTCAGGAAGTTAATCCCAAAAATACATGGTTTCCTCATCTCCTACATTCACCTTTTCCTTCCAAAGTCCCGCCACCTCATTCCTGTTCTTCCCTGTTTCTTCTACAAGCTGCTGGCGCGTCTACTCATATGCAGCAGATCACTGAATTTTTCAGTGTCCACATGAGATACTGCGTTGGTTTAACAGGGGCGTCAGAGGTCTGGTGTAAGTGTACCAATGGGGGGGGAAGCCCCGTACACATTCTGATCACGTATTTCAAATAGTCTGAGCCTACGCCGTGAGTATAGGATATAAATTACATCTTGGCTGTGTGTGGGACAAAATTAACAGAAAAGAGGGGAAACGGCCCAATCGGGAGTTACACTGAGCGACAGATTTGCATGCTTTAGCACTAGTGGCGGCATTCCTACAGATCAGTTATGAAAGTTATTTCGTTGGGCTTTCTATCTACACTTGGGACGGGGAAAGCTTCTCATCTGCCCTTTATAGAATTTCCATGTATATGTTAACTCTGGAGCACTTCATTTAAGAGACTGAAGAGGTGTTCTCCACAAAGATTCAGTAGAGATGGCTGAGTCCCTGCACAACACAAGAACCTCCTAGATTTGGTTTCCTTAGCAGAAGGTTAAAGAAGTTCACACATTCACCTTAATTTCAGCCATTCAGCCCTCATTGTTCAATGTATACTTATATCTACTGTCTGAATCGGACTGCAGACATGCGCGTTTTCAAAGAACGAGACCACAAGTCTGCAGTGCGGCGTGGTTGTAAATCTCTGCACTGCCTTCATGCCATAGTCAATCAATACACCCTTGAGCAGCCGTAAGGGTTACCTTCTCCAGTCATTGCCGTGTTGAGAGTAGCCTTGCCAACAAGGTTAGGCCAGCCAACCTAGAGAGTCTCAAGGCGATTATACAGCATATCCGTTTTCTGAAGTGGCTCCAACTTAATCCGGTGGGAATTCGTGCGTCTCAGTAAGTAAGTCAAAATATACCGTCAAGATTCCGTGAAAGTTCAATAACATACGTAGGACTTTTGAATTTACTATCTTTAATCCATAACACTGCACAAATGTCAGTATTAAGCGACATTTTCCGATAAAAGCACAGGTAATGTAACGTAGTTCAAGAACACAATGCTGCCTATAATGTGTGAGTCGGAGGAACTCTCTTGATGCAGAATTTCTGTCGAAAAGTGTATAACACAATGCAACTTATCGTTTAACCGCCATAGCAATGAACCACATACCACAATCTCAGGGAATACACAACAAGGCAACCGGCAAGAACATGTCACAATCCAAGCCCACTGGTGTAATTAGATTTTAGGAAGTGAATGAAGCCCCAGTTTACTTGAGTTAAACAGTGTGGATCAGTGACGATTGCTCTGGACTAATGATTTTTGGAAATATCTAGCGTCACAGCTCAGCCCGTACTAAAACGAGCCTGAAGTCAAAAGTCTATTCTCACATCATTAGTATTACTTGCTATGGGTGGGATGGTATTGGGCAGCCTTCTGGTCTCCTGTCTAAAGTAATATGATGTATCTGCAAGGATTCGTTTCATATTCATTTGTCGGTTTTCGTGCTTCATCTGATTTTCGTCCATTGCCGCTGTATTTGGAAGGGAAAACAAGAATGTTGTGAACCCCTTCCAACACATTAGCAAAAGTAATCCCTCAATTAGAGCATACATGCGAGGCTCAGAAATGCGTAGCGATGCAACATCAGGGATCATTAGCCCCTTAGAGCAGCCTGAACGTACATATAATGCAAGAAAATGCAATCCATTGAAGACGGAGCTTACACTGAGAAGTGACCCTCATATATATGAGAATTTCTCCATCAGCATAATCGTCAACTTTTGAAATCAATGTGGGACACGTCCGTCAGGAATATACTTGGCCACGATGGTTAAACGTCCTTGCTAGCATAGCGAACGGTCTACAGCTAGGGCAAGGCATATTTCCCGGGAGATAGCTGACACAGTGTCGACATCAAACGCGGATACTAATATCTCTAAAATATTATCTGATTATCACACTGGTGTCTCTCACTGCATGCCATATCCGAACAAAAGACCGTCTCTGACTACCACCTCTAAAACCTACCTGAAGTCTTCCTATGATCCAAAGATATTGGTAAATGAGTCTCATAACATGAATATAGAGGATACTCACGGATTATTTTATCAAGATATTGTCCGCTCACTGAAACCATTTAGCCACTGTTTATTTGTTATCCTAGTAAATATGAGATCATTTCTAAGCAAACACTTAACAGTAAGTGTATTAGCTTCTATATGCAGACCGTCATTGATCATGATTACTGAAGCCTGGTGCACAAGTAAAATCTCCAGTGATAGCCTAAGGATTGATAAATACAACCTTTTTCGAGGGGACAGGCAGACAGGTCGTGGGGTGGAACACTAATTTACTGTGAACAATCCATGTGTGAAACCCAGTTTAGTAACCCGATTCTGTCACAACTCAATGACTCGATCTGGGTAGAAATAAAAGTTGTCAGAAGTAAACCTATACTTGTGGGTTGTGTGTACCGACCCGTTTCATCCAGCAGGGAATATGATAATATGCTCAGAAATATTTTTAATGTTACAGCCAATCTTCCTTTTAGTTATAAAATTATCGGAGGTGATTTCAACATGCCAGAAGTATCATGGTCTTCACTCCGAGGACCCCAAAGGTATGATAATCTCCTGAATTCCATCGCCACAAGAGGGTGGACACAACACATAAATTCACCCACTAGATCCGCAAATATCCTAGACCTTATTTTCACGAACAACATAACACCATCTACAGTACATGGGACACGAATTTCTAGGTAGTGACCATAAAATAGTAGTGTGTTTTTTTGACATCTTTCCTGAAACAAAACTCAGTGATGAAGCTGGCCAGATACCTATGAGATTGTACACACATGCTGACTGGGACTTGTATTAGCACTTAATTAGATGTTCTAATTGGGACTCGTACTTTTCGAACCAGTCCTTAGAGGCAATTCTTAACAACTTTTATCAGAATATTAACTCAAGATTCTTAGTTTCAGATTCCCCAAAGCGATTATATTCCGATATCGTTTAGAAGAAGTCTACGAAAGCGCTCAATAAAATACTACAGATATCATGACTTATCATCGTTAATTGCTATTACGTCCCTTCTCAATAGAATTGAAGAGTTGAGAAATATAGGCCTCAGAAACAAAGAAATGCAGGCCATTACTCAGGAGAAATGGTCAAACTTTTCAAAAGTAGGTTGGCGAACTCCAAAAGAGTCTGTCCGAAAATAATGTACTTAGACGGCATTGCTTACGAAAATAATGAGGCGATATGTGAACTGTTTAGCAAGCACTTCGCCGGAATATATACCTTAGAGAACGATGAGGTCGTGGATTTCCCACGTAAAACAGACGAATATTTAAGTGACGTAATTTTTGCCACACATGAGATCGATAAAGTTGTCGCATATCTTAAGCTTAGCAACACTATTGTTCCAGATGGTATATCTTCCGTTCTGCTGAAAAAAGGTGGTAACGAGATGAATCTATTGTTACTCAAGTTATACTCAATTACATAAAGCGATAGGACATGCCC